CGGGTTTAAGGTAAATTAGAAAGTGACATTAACATTAATCAAGAAAGATGAATTCATGAATACATGAGAGTGGATAGGATAAATCGGAAACCCCAACAACATCATCATTCCATATTTTACATCAATCTCTTTTGCTTCTTTCAATCCAATTGATCAAAAACTTGCATTCATGTTTATTTTTCGCAATTTCAAACACAATGATTTCGTTTACAAGTCTAATTTAATCAAGAAATCACATAATTGTCTAGGCCGTGAGTTCTTTGGGAAACGGTACTTGGTCATTTTATTATTACTTAAAACGATTCAGTACACTTGCTGAAGTGTTAACACCTCTGGCGCTCAAGTGCCCAAAAAGGGGCGCCGAGCGATGCACAATTCTCTTCTACGCTCAAGCCTCAGAGATGGCGCCTAAGCTTCGTGCTTCTGGCGCTCAAGCGCCCAAAAAGGGGCGCCTGGGCGGTGTTCGACACTCTTCTACGCTTAAGCCTCCAAAAAGGGCGCCCAAGCTTCAAGCATTCCTCCCTTTTGGTGCTTTTCCAAGCCTTCCTAAGCTCCATCTCCTTAGCACTTCATCCCTGCTTTCCATATTATCTCATTTTCTATCAAAATAAGGAGAATTATTTATAAAACCATCAAATTCAACCTCAACTCTCTTATTCACACAACTTAACAAAAAAACATGATTCCAAGCAAATTTCTAAGCAGAAAAGGGTGCATTTAGTATCAAAATTACATCACAAATAACAATATTTTCAACTGTTATCAAAGGTTGATAGTATTTATTGAATATTCTACTATCTCCTCATAGTGTGAGTTGTGTGAAAGTTTTGAAGTTTCTCCTTGAATGGCTCTTAGTCCTTAATTTTTCTTGAATCTTTTCTTCTTTTTGTCTATGTATTCTTAGCTATTCTTATATAATGGCAAGATGGGTACCCCTTTCAGTATTTTCTTTTTCTTTTAGGATGGTCTCTTGCTTCCTCCAAAGTTTAAGTGATTTTAGTTCTTGGGACAAATTATTTAAAATTGGTGGGGCCTCTTTACTAAAATCATTTCCAATTTGGTAGAAAGGAGTTTGACTCATGCTTAGGGTTTTTAAAAATATGTAATGCACAACAAACTTGTATTTCAAAAATAAATTCCTTAAGGGACTTAAGGAGGCAAAATAAGCTCAAGTTCACTTCCAGAAAAGGAAGGAGAATCACAAAGGATATACTTTAGATCCAAGCCTTTCTTAGCCAAAGTTTACCTCAAGCCCTCTTGCACCAAACTTCTCAAATGGAATTAGGTTTGATACACAAGTGGACACACACTAAGTTATAAATAATTAAAGAAAGTAAATAAATTAGATTATGCGGCCTAACGATAAAGTTAAAAGGTACTTTAGAACCTTCAAACCTTTACCAACTAAAAACATTTTCAAATATGGTTTAGAGGTTCTTATTAGGAGATGGAATTGAGCACCAAAGACTCCTCCAAGACACCTAACAAGACCGTAAGCTACAAGGCAAAGCAAGATAATTTTACAACTCAAACAATTACAATACAATCAGATGTTTGTTCCTCTCCAAGGTGTTTCACTCATTCTCTTCTTGTATCCTTCTCAAGGCTCCAAGAAATAAATAGGTCTCCACCCCCCTAAGATGCTATCTTTAGGTTCGATTTTCCTCCAAAAGATTTTCTACACCAAAAATCAACTAAAATTAAGAGCTAGAAACCAAGGAAAAAGTAAATAAAAGCCAAAATGAACAAAAGCTCTTCAAAAGGGATTTATGTGAGAAAAAATCGAAAATGATTAAGAAGACAAGCAAGAAAATAAAGGTTAGAAACAAAGTTAAGCACATAAAAGAGACACCTAAAGAAAGACACTAGAATGGATGTACAAAACAAAAATTAACTATAGTAGAAAAAGAGTGTTTTTTGTCTTTACAAGCAATGAGCTAATGGTTTACTATGGACACTCTTTTAGCATCAAATAAATGAATGCAAGGTTGATGGACAAAGGTACATTCATGTTAAAATAGTGCACAAAATCAACATAAGAGTTCACACACAAAGTTAGTGGTAGTGGTAGTGGTCCCTTTCACACTTTTGCTTTTCACTTTTTGCCTTTTATACTTTTTCTTTTGTACCTTTTATCTCTTCTCTTTTGTTTTGTTTTTCAGCCTAACATAAGTACCACTACACACCATAATGTTTTATATACTCTTTTCAAAAGCTCAAAAGTTCAAGCACAAAAAATGGAAGAAATCCTACTATAATTAAAAATAGAGTATGAAACTTTAACAAACATATAAGAAACTTAACTCTAAGAACTTTCCAAAGATCTAATGACAAGTATGAACTCAAAAATGTAAAGTAAAAACATTCAAATGGATGTATATGGTGCAGTTTTGAAAACCAAGTTGAATATATATTTTTGTGATTTTGCAAAAGCTAGACTAAGAGAAAATGACATGTAGGGACTAACATGACTCTAGACAACATGAATGGATTTCAAAATAAAAAATGACCCAACAAACTTGATATGATCGAATGGTAACATGAAATAAGACTCAGCAAACATAAAAACACAACACAAATATATGGAAGCCTAAAGCAAGTATGCAAATGGTTCCAAAGAAAGAATACAATATTAGAACCATGAAAACACATAATTTGGACTTGAATATGAGACAATAAAGAAAAAAAAAACGGACAACAAATAAAAGTAATAAGATAGGTAGGACTAAGAAACTTAGCTCTTGTAGAACCAAATCTCTTTATACCAAATGATAGCCTCCTCCTCAACCTAAGTTGGGTCAAAGCAAAAAAATGAGTCTATGGTGGAGAATAACGTGAAAGTTGGTGGTGGATGAGAAGATATGTCTCGGTTTTGTTGTGTTTGTGGTGGGATGAAGGTGGTTGATGGCTCTCTTGAGATGTTGGACCAACTCTAGAGAAAGATGGCTAGAGGAAACCACATGAGATGCTCTATTGACTTGTGACAAGATATGGTTGAACAAATATTTTGATAACATAATATTATAATTCTCAAAAAGGGAGAGACGCCTCTATTTATAGGAGGTGTCTCCAAAATGTGTTGACACAAAACCTAAAAATGCTACCTTGGTGCAAACATTTAAAAAGATTCAATCTTGGTGAAAAAGAGAGGACATGTGGCTACTTACTTTTAGAAAATCCTATAATACTTGGTTCTTAATATAAGGCTTAAAAGAAAATCCTAACTATTTGACCCTTAATACAAGGCATAAATATTTCTAATCTACTAAAGGTGTTCCATGATAACCTAAGAGATAAAGTTTTGGTTCACCTTACATAAATGACTCTAACTCTTTTTTAATGTGTTTGAGCCATAACTAAGAAATATGCCATCAGTAAGAATACATTATCAAATGCTCATTGAAACTAAGTATAAGAATGATAACAAATTATTGGGAGTAGAAATAAATGAAGTGATATTAAATTTGTTTGAGATTTTTGAGAATTTGTATTGAAAAAGAAAATGCTAAGAGAAACGTGCTACCATTAAAGAACAACATTGACTCTCTTAAAAAGAAAATAACAATTAGAAATTGAAAAACGAAATGTTAGTGAGGTGAAAGAACTAAATCTCAAACTTTAGAGATAGAAGAAAAATGTAACCAATAAATGAAACTAGTAAAGAAAAAACACAATCAAAATTTCCAACTTCTTTTAAAGATTATCCTACGATCAAACAACTCTGAAAATAACTTGACATGACAACTTTAATATCAATTAGAGTCACAAACACAAATAATTAGAAAAACACAAATAATTAAAGAAAGAGATATATACAAACTCACACAAACACACGTCACAAACTTAAATACAAACATAGATACAAACTCATACAGAGACATAAACACAGATCGACTTAAGGTCTAAGCAAAGTCATTGCTTTAAGCTTTAAAGGAAAAAATACATCAATTTTTTTGAAGTACTAATTACTTTAAATCTCTATGAAAAAAAATTTCAACAAACTTTTTAATATTAATTGTTTTAGACAAAAATATTATTTTTAAATTTGTTTAAAATCTTTTAAACCTTGAGTCGTTTTTGCAAAAACATACATAAAGTAGATAATATACAGACAAATATAGTTGTTCTGTTTTCGTTGTTTCTGGGGTTGTTTCGTTTCCGAAGAAAAAAAAGAGAGAAAGATGGAAATAGAGAAGAAATAAGTTTAGAAATGTGTAAGAATTGAGATTCGTTTGGTGTGGTTTGTCGGGGTCAAGGGACATGTACTTATGATATGGTCAGTTAAAAATAGACATGTTTTTTTTTTAAGTTTGAAGCAGGTAAGTTTATCATTGGTCAGCGAGGCGAGGGAAAGAGTAATTTGACATTATCATTTATAAATTAATTCCATTATACAACTACTTTTTTTAATAAAATATTATATCATAATAGAATATCATTTTATAATTAAATATTATATTATAATTGTTTTTGCTGAATGGTACCGGGGAAAACTCCTCCTACCTCCGTCCGGGGTGACCTGCAAAAAACACTCCGACGCTCAAGTCAGAATTGGTCTTTGTAAGTCTATGTAATTATCGAAAAACAGAGAGTTTACATTCTCCTTCTATTGCTATTTATATGATTTACCTTTTAAGGCTTTCAATGCTAATCTTAAATATCGACAACGACCGTTACCTCATTAATTACACATTCATGAGATTCAACTGTTGTCTCTAAACTCGCTCGATCGGTCATATTAAACTCAAGAAACTCGATCGAACATATTATACTTGAGAGACCCAATCGGACACGTCTGCACACTCCCGGTCGGTTACACCGCCCTCAGTAGTAACAATAATAAAATAAAAATTTATAATGTTGGAAGATGAGTCAACGAATCATTGCTACTGCTGAATTGCATGCACAGGGTAAAATCTAGAACTGCAAGGTCTCATACTAACTAACACTGGGAATGGTGTAATTTCTTGAAAAGCAAACAACCCTTATTCACGGACACTGCCTCGCTCCAAATCCCTTTCGTCTCCACACTTCAACTCTCAAAATGGCGGAAACCCCCAAAATCCGTTTCGGCTTCATCGGCTGCGCCAGAATTGGGCGCAGGGTCTCCCGCGCCGTCGCGCTCGCATCCAACGCTGTCCTGCACACCGTCGGAAGCCGCTCCATCGACAAGGCCCGCACCTTCGCCGCCGCCAACGGCTTCCCCGCCGCCGCCAAGGTGTACGGTTCATATGAGGCCGTCCTCGATGATCCCGAGGTCGACGTCGTCTACCTGCCGCTCCCCACCAGCCTGCACGTGCGCTGGGCCGTGCTCGCCGCCAGCAAGAAGAAGCACGTGCTGCTTGAGAAGCCAGTTGCTCTTAATGTTGCTGAGTTTGACGAGATCATCGCGGCGTGCGAATCCAATGGAGTGCAGCTCATGGACGGTACCATGTGGATGCACCACCCTCGCACCTCGAACATGAAGGAGTTTCTCTCCGACGTAAACCGTTTTGGCCAGCTCAGATCGGTATGAACCTGTTTCAAATTCAATATTGTTTTTTTGTTGGCATCATTTTCAGCTTTTCTTATTAAACACAAATAACACAACAAATTTTATTTTAAACTATGAAATATTTTGGGGGTAGATGAACTTTATCAGTAAAGATGTTATTGTTTTTTTAAACACCTATTAAATATTCATTCAGCACCAATTACATGATAATTTTTATTTTAAAATATGAAATAATTTAGGGTGAATAAACTATTAAAGTAAAAATATTATTATTTTATTAAGGGTAAGATTTGGTTGAACATCTATTTTCAAAGGGTCTTTTTTTTTTCTCCAATAGATTTCTTGGCAAATTTTATGACTGATTTTAATCTCGGTCACACGTAAGTAATCAAGGGAAATAAGGATCTCTAATGCATATTGATTGGACTTTACATGGCAGTTGTAAATGAAAAGACAGGTTAAAAGACATTCCTTAGAGACTTAGACTCTTGGCCATGTTAGTATTGGGGAGGGGGAGTGCTGTATTATGCAATAATGTTCTGCATTGACCATCATTTCATTTACTTTCCCAGATTCACTCCAATTTTACGTTCAGGGCTAGTGCCGATTTTCTTGAGAATGACATTCGTGTGAAGCCAGATCTTGATGCTCTTGGTGCTCTTGGCGATGCAGGTTGGTACTGTCTTAGGGCAATACTGTGGGCTGCCAACTATGAACTACCAAAAACTGTTATCGCCTCGCGCAACCCTGAGCGTAATCAAGTTGGGGTGATATTGGCTTGTGGGGCTACTTTGTACTGGGAAGATGGAAAAGCAGCAACCTTTTATTGCTCCTTCTTGTCCTACATGTCAACGGATATAACTGCTCTAGGGACAAAAGGAACGCTACATGTTCATGACTTCGTTCTCCCATATGAAGAAAATGAAGCATCATTTTATGCAGCTACAGAACCAGGTGTTGATGAAGCTGTTACAAAGTGGGTTCCACAGCCAATCAAGCGTATAATAGAAACTGACATACCTCAGGAGGCTCTTATGGTAAATGAGCTTGCCCGTTTGGTGGCAGATATCAAATTCAAGAAAGCAAAACCCGAGAAGAAGTGGCCAACCATTAGTAGGAAAACTCAACTCGTAGTGGATGCTGTGAAGGCTTCAATTGATAGGGGTTTTGAGCCTGTCCAGATTCAGGAGTGAGGTGTATGAACTGAGGTCTGTGTTCCTGCGGTGCATCACAAAACAATTTCTGTTTTATGTATTATGAGCAGTTCATTGCTCATAAAAGAGGCATAAAGGGTCTGTAGACTCTTAGACAATTTTTCTGTTATTCACGTTATGTTTATTAATAAAGATGTACTACAGATTGGGAAGGAAGTGATGATTGTGTGCGATGTATATATTACATTGCACCAAGGAACACAACAAACATTGAGTTATATAAAATAATTGACTATGGTAGATTATGATATATTATACAATGGGAAAATTCACCAAACTGATGTAATTTGTTTTCAATTTTACAAAAATGGACAATTTAAAAAGAAAATAAAAATCTGGATGCCGTATTTGTATGCACACTTTCATTGTGAAGTAGTCATGCTTTCTAGTAGGTAGGCCAACACGACTACAATGTTACTGGAACTTGCATGTTCTACACACGACTTTGATTAGCCTACTCCGTTTCTGGTTTTCTTTATTTTATTTGCAGTCACCAGTGTTTTAAGATGAAGTCCAGCATGCTTTACACGACTTTGGTGTTGTGCGGATTAAGCTGAATGACTTTAGTGCATTTGTTGTAAATTAAAGTAGAGTGTAAGATTAGAGGGAGACCACTCTTTCTTGTAGTTCGTGTTTTTCATACTGTAAAGGAAATCATGTAGCTTAGAAACTGTTTGTGGGTTTCTTATTTTTTAGGTGATCAGCTTGCAATTGCCAAGGAAACTGGCCGAAGGCTTGGGATGGGAACAAACAGGTACCCATCTTCTTCATTACTTTGCAAGGATGATTTTGTTTCATCTCTTCCAGTTGATGAACTGATTGGGAAAGCTGATGGATTTGTTAGAGTATTTCCTGGTAGGTCCTTGTCCAGGATTATAATAACCATCATGGTAATGGATAGCATCACACCATCACACATTTTTGTTTTAATCTATTTTAGACACCTTTTTTTGTTCAACATTCATGGCTTCTTTGCAAGCTGGCGGAATCAGTACTAACCTTCATGGTGACATGTTTATCAAACATTTAATTAATTTTTTCCTCTCACTATGACATGGCAAAACACAAATATGAAATCGTGAAGACCGCATGACGGAGCATCCGGTTGGATGCTAGACTAGCAACGTCGTGATCCGCTGGTGGAGCCAATGTGGACGATGGTGTAGTTGGGCGGAACAACAGCTATAGTGCCACGACGAAAGTAATAAGGAAAGTGGTCGAAAATCAGAATAAAACACGATTTCCATATTAGTAACACTTGAGTATAATTCAATCTTATAAAACTACTAAAAATTGTACCAATCCAACCTTATTCCTATTTAACGTAAGATCTCTAACAGATTCTCTTGACCTCTCATGCCCCAAACATTTCAATAGATTAAATATATATGGATAATCTAATAGGAGCATGATAATGATGACATAATAACCCAAAAAAACTTGACTATGATAGACTCTAAACGACTCTACCTATTAACATGTTAAGATACACACGGTGAAGAGACAAAAATGATCTCTATTTGTGTCTATTCCAAACATACGAGCATGTACATATATAAGTGTCTTAAATACAAAGAATATACAAATCAATGGCCCAACATATATTAGTTACATTTCACAATGTCAATACCAAATTTGTTTATGTAGTTTTTCAAGATCTAAATGATGAAGTCACCACAATGGGATTGAACCAACACATGTAAGAAAAGATTCCGAAAGCAGGAGAAAAGGCAGAAGAATGGGGCAAGGCGACCCAAGAAGAGAGGATAGAGCAAAATACGGTGTCGGACGAGACTTGGAAAGCGACCAAGACCAAAGTTTGGGAGAGCGGAACCAAAACTGTCTCAGTAGAGAGCGCCACCGTCAGTAAGCAACTGGTGGTGAAGGCCGAGAGCACGTCCGACATACTACCGTTCATCCAAGCTATTATAGACGTCCACATATCCGAACAATTTGTCCCGCCCTAGTTTAAGATATACAATGGGAGGACTGATCCTAGCGATCACATCAAGATGTTCACCAATCGGATGGCGTTTCATATGGGAAATGATGCCATTTGGTGTAGGGTTTTCTCCCTGTCGTTTGAGGGAGAAGCCTTGGAGTGGTTCAACTCACTGCCACCCAACTCCATGGAGAACTTTGACTGTCTCAATCCATGTTCGGCTGTTAATTTGGGAGCAATCATACTTAGGACTTGACCATTTTCGAGCTTGTAAACCTCAAGCAGGGGAAGGAGGAGTTATTGGGGGAATTCATGGACCACTATTAGAAGATTATTCGACGAGTGAAGGGCCTCAATCCTGAGCTCACCCTTCAATACGTTCTGCCAGCCCTCAACCCAGGACCCTTTAAAGATAGTGTCTGTCGACGAGCCCCAAAGACCATGGAAGAGCTACGAGAATGGCGGCCGACGAAATAAGGATGGAAGAGATGAAACAGTCCTACAAGAAGGAAAACCAGGAAGCAAAGGTGTAGAAGGCGGATGGCAAGAAGCACGAGAACCAGTTTGGGAAGCCTGGAGGGTTCAAGCCGATGGAGCCACCTAGGGCTCCATGTTTTCAAGTATACCCCATTGAATGCCCCTAAGGCAAGATACTACAAGAGGTGCTGACTGCTGAATTAATTCTCGCACCAAAGCGGCGTCCCACACCGCTCGGGGCAAATGGCAACAAGCACTGTCTATACCACAAAAACATGGGCCACACCACCGAGCTGTGTGTGACCCTAAAGGAAAAAATTGAGGAGCTGATTCGAGCAGGTCAGCTCAAGAAGTACATAAAGGTTGAGCGTCCAATCGAACAATCACAACGACCTCAGCGCATTCCGTGACGGGGGAGTTTGGAGATGCGGGAGGATCGAGGTCGCCCGCGATACGGGAGGAGCGATCGCCTCCAGTCGGAGTGAAGGAGGAGTCGAAGTCGTAGCAGGAGTAATGACCGACCATTACGCGGTCATATCAACACTATCTCCGGAGGGTTCGCCGGAGGAGGATCTTCGTCCTCAGCCAGGAAACGGCACGTTTGAGCCCGTCGATCGGTTCACACCGTGGATAGGCCCATGAGGTCCATGCCCTCGATAACCTTTACCGATGAGGATTTTCATGTGCCTGATCCATAGCAGGACGACCCCATGGTCATCACGGCTGGTGGATCAAGGGTCTTCCGTTAACATCCTATACTGGGAAACTTTCCAGCCAATGGATTTGTCAGAAGACCTGATCGTCCCGTATAACGAACAAATAGTTGGATTCGCTGGAGAACGGGTGGATACCCGAGGTTATGTGGACCTCTTCGCTCCACCGTCTAGGGGTGTACCTGCCAAAGGTTCTCTGATACTTAAGTCAGTTGACTATTCGTACAGGAGTTTAATGCAATAGTAATAAATGCGCAGTAAATGCGAACACCTACCTCTTACCTTTGACCTATATTTATAGTTTTCGACAAAGGCTGGAGATTAGTGAAATCTTAATCACGACCCAATCTCAGCCCAATACCTCTATTTACTATTTACCTTAATCTTTGTAGGGAAATTTCATTATGGACTATGATCGGACACCAATACTCTACATCGTCCAGTCTTGTCAACTGCTACTACCATGTTCAATTGCTTCTTGATTTTATACAACCCTAGGCCGTCCAGCTTGCTTGGGGTGCGGAAAGTTCGAGCCACACTATACAAGTCACTTCCAGTATGCATTATTTTCTTGTATTTTCACCATAATGATGTTCTAGATAGAGTATGTGTGATTGCGCATATGGTAGAGAACTAAAAAAAACATGAATGAGGGCTAGAAAGTCTAAACAGGAAAGGACTTTCTAGTCATTGTGAATCATGCTTCCGTAATCTTGGGAGTCCTTTCTTCTTTTGCCTTACCGGGACTCTATCATGCTATTCTTAGGTCTCTATCAGTATATCAGACAATAATGTGAAATTGTTTTCACTATTTCTAATACAAACATATGGAAAGAGAAATGAACCTGAAAAGTGATTTATTTCTATAACTAGTCGGCAAACTAACAACTCTATCTCGGTTCATCCCCAAGTTGGTCGATCGTATCTGGCCGGTTGTGAGGAAAACGAAGGGGTCAGCGAATAAGTGGGACGACGACTGCGAAAAGGCGTTTGAGGGAGTGAAGGCGGAGTTGATTTATCCCCTGGTCATGAATCGGTCTGTCACGGGTGAAGATTTATAGGTCTAGTTGGGGGTATCGGACGAAGCCATCAGCGTCGCCTTGCTACAAGAAAAACCATAACCAAGGCTCATATACTTCGTGAGTCGGACTCTCCAGGACGTCGAAACCCGCTACCAGCAGGTAGAAAAGGTCACGCTGGCATTGCTCAACGCGACCATAAGACTTCAACCATATTTCCAAGGCCACAAAATAGTGGTCCGAACAGACCATCCCATCTCCAAAATCTTGAGGAAGTGCAATCTTGCCGGGCGGATGGTAGGTTGGGCGGTAGAACTATCATAGTTTGGCCTATAGTACGAACCAAGAGGGTCTATCAAAGGCCTACAGTACGAACCAAGAGGGTCGATTAGAGTTTGGCCTACAGTGGAACTGCCTTCAACAACCCCTTGTTTTGTGTGGATCCTATACGTGGATGGGGCATCCGGTCGATTTGGTAGTGGCGCAGGAATAGTGTTGGAAGGGCCAAACGGATTCCTGCTAGAGCACTTCCTTATATTCCAATTCAAGGCATCCAACAACCAGGCGGAATATGAAGCCTTGGTGACAGGTCTAGAACTGGCAAAGGACATGGGGGTGCAAAGGTTAACATGCCGCACAGACTCACAATTAGTGGTGGGGCAAATGAATGGCGATTTTCAGGTCAAAGACGACCATCTGCTGCCTTACTTCCACAAGGCCTCCACTCTGGCCAAAAATTTTGAAAAAATAGACATCAAGCACATTCCCTAAGAGGATAACGTCTGGGCATATATGCTTTCCAAGTTGTCTAATGGAAGGGAGAAGGGACAATTGACCATGATCATTCGGCAGGTGTTGTCACAGCCATCGGTGGAGTGCTTAACTACGACTATGGCGACACCGGACGACTGAAGGATGGAGACTCGGAAACTCATGGACCAACAGGATGCCGAACAATCCATCCGTCCGACGAACACTAAGAAGATCGTCCGGTACGTTGTAGTG